TCCCCTAACCCCAAAACCAAAGTACTCAGAAGCATACACAATCCGAAACCCTTATTTCCACAACACAGAGTGCCGTTAAGACCTACCACATTAACATCATGGGTTCATACAAGCACCCTAATGAACATCAACATATTTGACAAACATAAACCAATACATTGCTTTATGCGATTTCAGCACAAAATAACAGCATCCAAATTTGGGAATGTCAATGTTCAAACAGATGATGATACAATCACCGCAATGAACACTGACCCACATATATTCAAAGCAAAGACAAATACACGCATACCTATTGCCATGGCTGCTCGACACCCACGCCAACGTTGGTGAAAGAATGATGTTACCTCGCTGATGTTACGGCCGACGAACAATCACTGTTCAATAAAACCTCAGTGTCCACGCCGAATCGCCTTCACAAATGTGATACAACGGGGCTTTTTGTTCTCCTAGGGTTTTTGGTGGGTGCCATGCAACATTATTTCAAGAATGAATATACTACGATCAACATTGACAATCCCTACGCCTCAATCACACATAATGAGAATCCAATCACTAACATTTCTAAGGAAACCATAAGTTTCTATTCCAGCTCATCCATTTTGTTCGAGATGGAGGGAAAACCAAAAAAACGTTATAATATACTTTTGGACATTTTGGTAACTAGAACATCACTTTAACCCCATAATTACCCTTTCCTAAATACAAAACAAGTGCTAACTTAATGGGGCTTAATGTAATTAACATTCACATAGGACTTTTCAAGCTATAAAATTTTTTAAAAAAAAAGGTAAGACTAAATGGTTTAACATATCAAAATTTGGGATTTATTGGTGTTTTACCCTACATTTTTAACATGTGACTTTCATAATAATTTTTTTAACATAAGAAAATTTGACTAATTTGAGCTTGTTGGAAAGAAATAAGTTTAGCTCTATGATCTTTCATTTGAATTTGAGTTTTTATTTTATAAAAGAATGGTAATGATTTGATTTTTTTTTTTTAGCAAAATAAATTAGTTCAATTAAATTTACTTTTAAGGACTGATATATAACTTCTTCTTTTTTTAACTATTTTATATTATCGAAATACATGATAGATATTTATTTTTATTATTTCTTAATAATTATCTCTAACAAGATAATTAATCATGAGTATTTATATAAACAATGATGCAAAATAATGACCTATCATTTTTTTTTTTAGTGCTCTTGGGTGGTAAGCCTAATTTTCAACGCTTTTAGGGCAATAGTCTAAGCTTTATTCTTTTGAAGTAAAAAAATAATAATAATTTGAAAAATTATATTATTCCTACTTATATCTATCTGTCTACGCTACTTATATGTTCACGTGTCATTCTTTTATTTGTCCAAATGTTATCTATATATCCACATAATTTATTTATTTTTTCATATTACCACCATCAACAATTGCCATCACCGGCCACCTTTAGCGATTGGCTGGTGGTGATTTGGCAACAGCCAAGTAAAAATAGAAAAAAACATTCTTCAAAATAATAATTTATTTTTTTCGCCAAATAATTCCATTAATTATGTTTCTCTCACAAAAAAAAACAAAACAAAACAAAACAAAACAAAACAAAAAATAAAAATAAAAAAATTCAATTTTTAGAATTACTGCCATGTGTCTGTAGAAGTAGACCTATTGCCGATATATTTTTTTGGACAAAATTTACTTTATCTCCTTATGGTTTTGCCTCAGAACACTTTACCCTCTATAATTCAAATATTGGCATAGAACTCCTTTATGGTTTTGGATTAAAGTGTTACAGTTAATTTTTTTCATTAAATATAACATAAGGGGTGTCACACTCTCTCAGATTAAGAGTGAGTAATGCAAAAGTTCTAAGTCAAAGTCAAATATCAATAATACCCTCATATTCATCCTATTCTTCAAATTAAATCATAATCCTAACCAAACCCTAATTATAATTGTCATCTTTTATCAATAATTTAATTTAATTTAAAATGTAATTAAATGAGAAATTGGATTAAAACAAATAGTAGATCAAGATAATTTTATGGTAATAAATTAGAGTATTTAGGTTAATATATATGCATATGTATATATATGTAAATATTTAATGTAAAATGTTATTAAATAATAAATTCAGTTAAAAATTAAAAATTAGATTAAGGTAATTTTATGATTTAATTTTATGGTAATAAACTAAGGCATTTAGGTTAATTTATGATTTAATTTTTTTAATATATTTGATTAAAATGTTATTAAATAAGGTAATTTTATAATTAGGGTGCTTAGTTTAATTTATGATTTAATTTGTTAAATTTATATTCATTTGTTTAATTAAAAACATTATTAAATAAGATAATTTTATGATAATAAATTAGGATATTTAGTTTAATTTATGATTTAATTAGTAGTGTATATATATATATATATATATGCTTATTTTGAAATTTTATTAAATAAGAAATTAGATTAAAAATTAGAAATTAGATTAAGATAGTTTCATGGTAATAAATTAAGGTGTTTCGGTTAGTCTTATGGTTTAGTTTATGGTAATTTATATTTAATTTAAAATGTTATTAAATAAGAAATTGAGTTAAAAATTAAAAATTAGATTAAGATAATTTTATGGTAATAAATTAGGGTGTTTCGTTTACTATGATTTTATTTGTTGAATATGTTATTAAGATAGAAAAGTATATGTGTTAGAGAAGAGATAAAGAAAATATATCATAGGGTTAGATAATTTTGTCCATACTCTTAACAGAGTTACTTTTACACTTTAGTCCAAAATTATATAAAAGTTCTTTACCTATATTTGAACTATACTGTGATAAAGTGTTTCGAGTCAAAACCATAAGAGAGCAAAGTAAATTTTGCCTAATTTTTCTTAAGCACTTAAAAAAAAAAAAACCAATATACTTTTATATTTTTGTGTTTCACAAATATTTTACTTTTTATGTGCATTTAGGTTAAGTGTATTTAAACAATAAAAAAATACATAAAATAGTAAAAAATTACTAAAAATAAAAAAAATATATGAAAAAAAAAACTCAATTTTCAAAAAGAAATATATTTGGTCCAGTAGAGGGAGTTCGACTCTGCTTAAATGACATGACCGGATGACTTGCGTCATTTCTGTCTATCATGATTGTCATCCTTGTCAACTGCAACTACCACCCTTATCAACTGGTGTATCAATCAAAATCTGCTCAGATGATCGGCATCTTTCCGGATGACCGACATCTTCTCAAATAAGTGACCAGATGATCGTTATACACAAATTTACACAATTCAAAGTAGATCGAGAAAGTCCTCTCTCTCTCTCTCTCTCTCTCTCTCTCTCTCTCAAACTTTTCTAGGGTTCTGTCGGAAGAGCGCCATTTGGAGAGGGAGGCCCGTCGGCTGCCAGCCACTTCTTCCTCCTTCCTCTTCCCCATGGTTTTTCTTTTGCTTGCTATAAATAAGTTATGGGAGCTTGTCTTCCCACTTCTCTCCCTCTATGAGAGGTTTTTTTTCCTCTTGGTGGATGTTTTTGTTAGGCTTCCCTCTCCCTCTCCCTCTCCCGCCAAAGCTAGATCTACCTTGTTTCTCCATCCGTCGCCTCACGCCGGAGCCGCTTTCAGTATCGCGCCACCAGATCTGCTCGGATCTGGACCACCTCCATAGATCTGGCCTTGTTTGGGTTTGAAGTCAAGCTTGATCTTATTTTTGCTTTGTTTCTTGATTTTGTTTGTTTGTGTTTTTTTTTTTTTTGAGTCTTTTGGTGCTTGATTGTGGCCTACACTCTACACTCTCTGTGATTGTTATCTATGATTCTTTCAGACATGCTCTAACGCCAATTTGATTGGCTCTGTTTTCGTAGTATGAGTACAAACCTATGAAGCACGGATACTTCAAAAATGGAGACGTATCCGTATCGGGTACTTATCGGATACCGATACTCGTTGGATACTCGCAGATACATATCGGATACTTCTTAAAAGTATCGGATACGTCTTAATTAATTTTGAAGTATCGGATACTTAATTTTGAAGTATCGGATACTCAAAGTTACATATTACTTATAATATTTTGTTTAGTTCTTTGATAAGAGGAATATAGTAAGAGTTAAAGTAATAGAATTTGTCAAATTGATGTATCCTTATTGTCTCTCTCACTTTTCTCTTGCTTTCTCACTCTCTTACGTTTCTTGTCTTTGCTCTCATTCTTTTTTTGGTGTTGGCATGTAAGGATGATGTTTAATTTGCATTTGCTTTTGTTTTTAGTTTTGAATGTTTTATGAATGTTTGAAAACTTTAAGGTTAATAGGAATCTCTCTTTATTTATTAATTTACTTTAAGTTTCATTTTCATGCATATTACATTATTAAAATTATAAAAATATTTTTTTTTTACGAACATATTCCCGCTGTACCTGTATCATACTTTTTCAAATTTTGACATATTGTGCTTCCTAGGTTATCATTGATGACTTAAAAAAGTATATTTACTGAAATTTTTATTTAATAATAGTTTTTTGGCTTTAGCTAAGGTCCTGTGATATTCACTGATGAAGGGGAACAAGTTGAAGCTATTGATCTTGAAGACTCTTAGTTTTATAGGAATCTTTCTTCTTTATTAAATTGTCTTTTGTTATAGATTTTATTTTTATGCATACTGCATTACTAAAAATTATAAAAATAATATTTTTACGAACGTATTCCTGCCGTACCCATTTCCTAGTTTTTCAAATTTTTCCGTATCGCCGTATCCATATCGTATCGTATCCGTATCCCGTATCTGTATCCATGCTTCCTAGGTACAAACACTGATGTGCGTCCGGATAATTTTCATAATTTTCACCTTCGCGCTTATTGTAATATTTTTATTTTATTTAGTGTTTGCTCTTGGTTGTTGGATTCTGTAAGTGCCGTTTGGCTATTCTTTAATGGAAATTTCCTTAAAAAAATAAAAAATAAAAAAAAACTAGATCAAATTCGATACATGTATTATTACTGTTTCAAAAAATCAACCAAAAACCAAACACGATGGATGGTTTTGAGTGCGCGTGGGACTGCTCACGCCAGTTGTTGACTGTTTGATGTTTGCTTTAAATTTGTTTTTTAAGTAGCAAAAGATGTTTGTTTGGTTAGGTAATCACTGACTGTGTTTTGCTGTTTCTATTGTTGCCTCTTCTTTCTCCACCTGGTCCTTTTTCCCTCTTCCCCTCTCTCTCTCCACGGTTTTCTTGCCATCCAAACAAATTTCTTCGGTGATTTTGGAATTTTAGCTCCTGGGTTTCATTTTTGTGTTCAAATGTTTTTTTATCCAAGTGGGTTCCTGGGTTTTCTTGTTTTGCCTTTTTAATCTTTGCTTTTTGGGTTTTCTTGATGGCTATTTTCACTGACCCATCAAGAGATTGAGTTCTTTTCTTGGATTTTGGAGAGAGAAAATGAAGGATTTTGCTGGAACTCCTGGAACCATCACTGGGCTTGTCCTAAGGATTTCTCAGTGTTTGTTTGCAGCTGGTTCAATTACTTCTATGGCATCTACTAACAGCTTCTTCAATATCACAGCTTTCTGGTATTTATTTTCTCTTGATCACTCATTGATTTTCTTTTTCTTTTCATTTTTTCCTGTAACCTAATGCTTAACAAAGGACGTGTATATTTCTTTTTCTCATAATTCTTTAGTTATTCAAGTTCAGTCATGTATTTTCATCCATCAAAAAGCAGTTATAGTATGTATTTTGGCCATTTCATATTTGGGATTGTTTTGTAATAGATTGATTCTTAAGAAGAATTAGACAATAATAACAAAAGAAAAGTTAAATTTGTGTGAGACGCTTAATCAACTTGAGCTTAATTTACTATGTGGATGTGATTAGACCCTATTGAGATCTTCTAATTGTGAACTTGACAATGCTGCATTACATGAAGCAATGTTATGATTATCAAGTTACCAAGTGCAATTCTTTACATTTAGGTAAGAGAAAACATGTAAAGATTCAAAATCATCATCATTTGTCAAGCACTTGATAATGCTAGCAGCAAATTATTTCCTTTGCCTCTAATTTGACAAGAGCTTCTATTTAGCTTAGATTTTGATCAATCACTATGCCATGAGCAAATATTGTAGATTTTGTTCCCCAAACTATCCCTTCCTATTTCCTCTTTGCAAAGGCCTGCCTAGGTCAACCGACTGGGCTAAGGCCAAGGGAGAGACTGCCCTCCCTTCCTTTGGTAGTTTCTTGGCTTCCCAAGGATAGCAGTAGTTGGAGCAAAGCCTGCTTTCTTCGCTCTGCTAATGAGAGATAAAGTCAGAGGGAAAAAAACGCGTTCTCTCTTTGTGGGATCCGAAAGTGGACAGCACATAGCATTCTCTGGGCACATAGGATCAAACGTAAAGCAGCGCTTTCTTGGCAGAGTTTTAGGCGGAAAGAGGCTTTATAGCTTGTTGGAGCTGCTGAGCATAACGAATCAAAGCCGCAGGCAGAGCAAGTTGCCTGGCTCAGTTAGCGGCTCCAGTACATTCTCAATTGAGAGGTCAGGCTTGTCTTCGGCAAAAAATTGATTGTTTCTTCTCTATTACGAGGCTCTTTCTTAAGTTCTTTATTTCTTCCGCTATTATGGGGCTCTTTCTTGGATTGATATTGTTGGTGTTGGGCTTGCAAATGGTGTGTGTTGTTGGACTTTCTTAAATAGGTAATTGTTTAATTTGATGTCGTTCTCTTGATATGGGTAAATAACCTCCTACCGGTTGACAAAAAATTCCTGCCTATGTCCTAATGAACATATAAATAAAACTAGTTTCACTGGCATAAGTTTGTTACCCTTTCTACCCTGTTTGCCCTTGGGGGAATATATTGGATAAAATTGGCCCTTACTCTATCCTTCCTAAAGCCAGGAATGGACGGTCAGTTAACAACCACTTATTGGACAGATGTTACATTACCTATCTTGTGATTTTATCCCATATTAGAGGAGGTCATCATCATTGCCAATCACCTCTGCAAACCAATGAATCGTTAAAATGAGGAGGTTGGCTGATAATTGCCTAGGGTTTTTTCAAATATAAATATAATGTATATATTTATATTTATGTTTTGATCAAATTATGAGGGAGGGGGGGCTGAATAAATAAATAAATAGAAGAAGAAAGGATCTTGTAGTGTGTATTATTATTACTACTGTTTTGCTATATCAGCAACTACAAATTCTTAGGTGAGCTAATGCTTATCTTCGACTTGACTTCATGGTTTCATTATATTTATGCTTTTACTTGGTTATGGAGCTTACTGGTCCCAGCAAGTATGTCCTTCTAAGGAAGTGTTTAAACGAATTTGATAAGCATAAAACATGAAACATTAAGAGCAGAAACATAAAACAAAAGAAAGATAACGATGTTTGCTCTGTCCGTGCAGGCTAAAAGAAAACAAAATTTTATCATTTTTTTTTTCGAGCCTGAAAAACACACAATTACAACAAACTAGGGGAAAACCTAGAAAAGACAAACAAACACAAGATCAAAGCCAAAGCCTAAAACAAATAAAACTACAAAACAAAAGAAGACAATAAAATCTGCAAACTGGAGAAACATATCTGCATTACTGTAACAAAGAGCAAAAAAAAGGCTACAAGTTACCCAAAAAAAATTTTTCAATCCTCTTATAAAAAACGTTCATGCATGGCACTAATAGCATGCTTTTACTAGTTTTACTAGTTGTGTACTTCTATTTGTTAGAAGTTTTGAATCAATTTATTCCTACACATTTTCTGCTGCCAAAACTCTAAACCCTAAATCCTAAACAACGTCAACTAGTTAAATTTTATGTTCTTTGTTTCCTTGTTAATTCATAAGGTCTTTTGTGCTGCATCCTAGAAACGATCAGTTATTGAGGCCCAACATTTTGGATAGCTACTCCTGAAAATTTATTGATCTGAGGTGGCTATGCTGACCCTCTTTATCATTTTACTCTAAATTGGGCCATATATATTTGTGAAATTATGTGTAAAAAGATATCCATTTTAAATTCCTCGACCTGCCAATTTTGCATATCCTGCTGACTCCTTGCTATACTATTAATTTGAACAGTTCACTTTGTCAGTGCAAATAATGATTCTTTATTGCAATTTGCACATGGCAACCATCTTAACTGAATGGTTCTCACCTTGTAATCATTACTACTAATGACTGTGTTCTTTTCCGATTTTGTCATTTCACGTCTGGCCAGCGATGCTTTACAGGATAGAGTGTTGGGCAACTAAAAAAGATGTGCATAAAATGAGTGTAGCACCTATTGAAGATAAATGAAGAGTATATAGGTTAAGATGGTTTGGTCATCTATAACGAAGACCTATAGATGCAATGGTAAGGAAGAGTGATAGAATCACCATAAACGGACATGCTAGGGGGGGAAGAAGACATAAGTTGATATGGGATGCATTAGATAAAATATATATAAATTTATTTAATTTAACTATGCTCTTGGCCAAAAAAGATTCACTTAGCCGATCTTATTTGATTGGGACACAAGGCTTAGTTTGGTTTGGTTTGGTCTTATCTGGCCACTCACCCATCTAACTTCTGCATTTTAATACCTCTCATTTTATGAACTTGTATTTGTAACTGTTAAGCATAACGGGAAGTGAAAAGCAATGGTGGTTTACTTTTATTAGATAACACTCCCTCTAAATAGAGGTAAACACTTTGTGCACAAAACTCCAAAATAGACAACTTGCCTTTTTCTCCAAATGAATAATTTACCTAATTGATAAAAATACTTGCTTAATTTTGCTAATTAAGGCACATTATTTTTATTCTAATTTTGTTAATTTAAGCATTCTAGGAATTTGAGGTATTGCTTGTAAAAAAGATGAAGTCTCAATCGTATAGTAACGTCGCTTTGTTCATATATTTAATCGTAGATTTCGAGGATGGGCCTTGGCACAATGATAAGGTTGCTCCATTGCGCCTTGTGTGTCATGGATTCAAACTATGGAAACAGCCTTTTTGTATGCGGAGGCAAGACTTTGTAGTCTGATCCTCTCCGAACCCCACATTGGCGTGAGTTTCATGCACTGAGAGTGCCATTTATATTTAATCATACTATTCAAGTTTTAGACTTGAGTGATAAAGATAGCTTGATGCATATCATAGGTGACCTCATCCTCCATGTCTGCAATCAGTTCATCCATAACGGCTCAAAAAATACTCAGAAATAAAAATCTAGGTCCCATCCTTTCTCATACCCTTCTTTCAGCCAGACATTTTTTTACTTGATCACGTGAAATATCTAGGTTTTTTTTTCCTTTCTTTGGGCATCCCTTGTTTTGTTTAAAGGAAGCATTTTAAATGAAAGTGGTTTGGACGTAGTATTGTCAATGTTCTTCCTTCTTCTGACTATTACACCTATTGTTTTGCGAGTTAAAATTCCATTTCTTGACCATTTCAAAGGACGAATGATTGCCGCCCAATCCAAATTTTGTTTGCAGTTACTTGATTGCTTCAATGGGTTTGCAAGTCATGTGGAGTTTTACACTTGCATTCTTGGACGCATACGCCTTGGCAAAGAAGAAAGTCGTCCACAATCATGTCCTCGTCAGCCTCTTCGTGGTTGGAGACTGGGTCAGCCTCTATCGGACCTGTTCATCATTCCTAGTTATTCCATCAAATCAATAAAAATATTCATTTACAAGGGTGGTTATTTATTTATTTTTGGCAGGTTACGGCAACATTATCTCTTGCAGCAGCTTCTGCATCAGCCGGCATAACAATGTTGTACTTTAGTGACTTTGGAGGCTGCCAGTCAGGTGGGGAATGCCAAAAGTTTCAAATATCGGTCGTTTTGGCGTTTTTGAGCTGGATAACAATAGCAATATCATCTCTAATTATGTTTTGGATTTTGGCAGCTGGATAGAACCTTTTTTTTTCTTCTTTTTTTTTGTGGTGGCTCAGCCTCTTGTTGAAATATTTATAGTTTAACCCTCCACATGGCTGTGAATATGAAAAGAAATTAAACAGGAGAGATATGGTGATGCTTGAAACATGTTTTGGGGTTTCACAATTAAAGCTTAATCAGAAAAGTGTGTTTTTGTGTACTTTATATGAACAAATAAGAATGGTCTAGCCTGCATAGAAGTCTGATTCCAAGCAAAACGACAGGAGATCCTGTCTCTCAGATTTCTTGATTGTGCCTTGCTAATAACCTTGTTTGGTTGAGTTTTAAAAATCTCTTATGTTGTGTTTGGTTGGGAGATTTGATGAGCGATTTAGAAAGGAAAAGGGAAAAGGTGTGTGAAACTAGGTGAAATTTAAGCATTTTTATTTATATTTCACCTATCTTTTTCATTTTCCTTTCTAAATCCCTCTTCAAATCCCCCAACCAAACACAGCATTATTCTTTCCTCTTTTTTCTGTTCTTTTTTTTTTTATTTATCAAAAGATAGAAACTAATTTGACAAAAATAAAATTCAAAAAATATGTATTTACAAAATATATATTGTGAAGATTAGCTTCTTCTTTTTTTTTTTGGTAAATATATATTGTGATTAGAGTGACCTGATTAGGTTTTTTTTAAAAAATATATATTGTGATCTGATATCCAATGAGGGGGGAGGTATTTGGGAGAGATATTGCCGATTTAAAAAAAAAGAAAAAAAAAGAAAAGAAAAGAAAAAAAAGGGTATGAACATTATAGGGCAAGAGAAGAATATAATCTGCCAAAACCTACAAGCAATTAAAAAGGTGACGATATGAAGAACACATTCTACAAGTTCATAACATTCCCAAATTGATTCGAGCATTTAGATTGTGTGATTCCATGCTTCTATCAAAATGGGAATAAATAAGTAAATATTCCAACATTGAAAGATCAGAAAATATTCTGATGTGAGAAATCAAGTAATTTTTTTATTATTTTTAATTAACAACTTTTTTGTATTTCCCAAAAATAAAAATTAAAAATTAAAAATAGAACTCAAAAACACAACTACACAGACGTGCCTAACAAAGTGTATACCAAAGGCGAAAGCTGCAAAAATACATGCACTGAATACATGTCTGACCTTGAACAATCAAATTTTAGTTGCACATCAAAGTCCATTGAATTTAAAATATTAGTAGATTTTTGTGAAGAAATTCAATTCCAGAATTCAAAGTCTTTCAAAAGTTCCAAACACAAAGCGAATCTAATCCAACTATTAATTTCTTCCAATTCAGCCTACCAATCACAGAATATTGAAGAATTGGTCAAATTAGAATAGAACAATAGAGCAGCAATATTTACAAGTTGAAATGGCTAAAAAATCCATGAAATCATAAAAAATAAAGCATCCGGAATTGGTGCAAATATTTGCAACTAGTTCTAAGCAGCTGGAGGCCTGAGCTCTTCATCCTTCGTCGTATCAATGGCAGATGGAGGGAGATATTGCCACATCGGAACAAACCCGTAACTGGGAAAAACAGGAATCTTGTTTGTCCCGGCATGATATGCTGCTGCTGGATGATGATGGGGCGGCATAAAAGCAGCAGGAGAGACAGGCATAGCTTTCAGCTGCTGCTCCATCCTTTCTTTGTCCCCCTTCAATACGAGTTTTTCATCACGAAGTTCATTCTTCTCAGCCTGTTTTAGAAGGAAAATATTACGACCACTAGCAATAAAATAGCACACAAAATTACCAAAAATAAGCAACATTTCACATAAGGTGCTTCTTTTTTTCCCTAGCAGTCCAATTGGGTTAGGTGATTTGAAAAGAAAATAAAAGAAATGCATTTCTTTTGGTTCATATCACCTGGTTGGATTATTACAGAGGCAAGAAATGAGAAGAAATTAAGAGAAACCAATGTCTCATAAAATTAAAATCCTCATTTTTTAGAGAAAAAAGATACCACCAGATTACTATGTTATCATAATACCAAAACTGCCCTTTTAGATATAGAAGAAATTAAAAAAACTAACACTTATAAGAGGTTATTTTGGTAACATACAAGATAGAGAGCAATCATTCTCTTTTCTCTTTTCTCTTTTTTTCTCTCCTATTTATCCAAACAAGAGGGAGAGAGAACACAATCTTCTGTCTCTCAGCTGAGCTTCGTTGTTTATGCTGTAGAAACATTTTGGCATTTTGAATGGATTCGCTATTATATTCATCAACGATAATAATACAACACCTACATGCCTGACATATTAATATGTAAAATCCTTTTACTCATCATAATGACAATAAAATTGGGAATTGATTTCAATATAATTTTTCAATCACAAAAACTACGATTACTGGGAAGATACACGGCCACCCAACAGCCATGGAAAAATCTATACTAGACTAGTAGTTAAAAGTTCCCAAATTCTTGAACAGAGACTAAATTTACATCATGTCACAAGCATGAGCAATCCTAATCATGATTTCATATTCTATCTCTACTGTCTACACTAGAAATAGCGGCACAAAACCCTATATTTTACTGCCCTAAATTGTAGTATTACTACCAACAGTATGTCATACACAAGGAGTTGCTCTGCCAAGATCACAAGACCCAAGCCCCTCCAGTTAAGTTGAAGGTCTAAATTAAGTCCTTTACAAAAGAAACCTTTATATACTCCAGGATACAACAAATTGCTTTCCAGTTAGCTTATAACGAATTTGCACAACATAGTAGCATTATAGCATACTAACAAGAATCTCAAACTCCAAGGTTGCTTATCAGTCTACCATACTCCATATTTCATATTGACATAAAAGAAGAAGAAGAGAGAGAGTTTCCGTAGAGTTGCTCCAGCATTCAACAAAAGAATTCCTCGACAAGATTATGTTGGTAAAAAATGGAAAAACAATAGCATGATTGACCACAATTTCCTAAGAAGATTTATTACAAGAAAAAGAGGTTTTGACACTAACTCTGTTATCCCAAATCCATCTAACATTATTGCTCTGTTAACCTGCCATTTACTCCATCCAGCTGCTTCATGAAGGTGCACATTTTTTAAAATCTTATTCCCAGTTTCTCATCTTTCTCACCCTCGTTGACTAAAGTCAAAAAAATGCCAACGCAGCTTCAATAAAGTTAAGAATATAATTCTTGTGGTTGTCCAACATCTGAAAGCCCACTATAGAATGACAACCAAGTTTCTTGCCACCAATAAACAAAAATATAAAAAACTATAGAATGATCATGGAAGCACATGAATGAATTATTGTTTTGAAAAGGCCATCAGCAAATACAAGTTCTATCAATCGTCAACGCATATCATGTGCAAGTGCAAAGCACAAGCCAGTAAAGAGCATTATCAACCTTTACTCATAAAAAATGCTACATAATTATAACCAACCTTTAAACTTTTTATCTCTTCTAAGAGCTTCTCATTTGTCTCTTTGAACTCCTGAGATTCAGCTCTCAGCTGGTTCAAAACACGGATGGCATCACCGAGTATGGCCAATTTATCAGTTTTGGGAGGTCTCCCAGGTTCCAAGATAGAGCTCAATTCTACAAACCTGCATAAGGGATAAATAGGAATTATCATTCAAAAAACCACTAATCACCTAATTACAATACAGCCATGTATATAAATTTAAGGTTTGTGTGTGTGTGTGTGCGCGTGTGTGTGTGAGAGAGAGAGAGAGAGCATGCAAAAATTCCATACAAGTTGGCAACTACTAAAATAGCCTTTTTCCAACATTTCAGCATGTTGATTATATAAACAACTTATTTTGCTAGATAAGATACATGATTATAGTTCCTGCCTATCACAAGTTAATATGTTCATCACATTGCAAGCATCATATTCTCTTTTTTTACCCTTTCATATCTGCTGCCTCTACTAAGTACGTACAAGAGCTGTAAAACCCTTGCACAAAAGCTTACCCTCTTTACCATGAGATTGAGTTATATGCATTTCATTTTTACTGTCAACAAAAGCACATAAGCACACATGCCAATACTCATGCCACACAATGAATCAAGAATGATTATAAAATGTAGTTTTATGTATTTACTAGAAATAAAAGAATTTCAAATCAATTAATAAAATGACATAAAGATGCTTGCCTGTCGTTCAATCTTTCTCTCCGTAATCTCTCACGACAAGCTTTCGTGCCTGGTTTGCTGCATGAAGCATTCCGTGTCCTAAAAAAATCACCAAGAAAACCAACGAATATATAATGCAAACGATATATATATCCTACCACATCATTACTTCAGAAAAGGAATAAAAATTGAAGAAAATAAAATAAGACAGCAGTACACCTAAAACTTGAGGAACCCAAGTCCAAAGCAAAGCCCATGTGCACAAGTAGTGGATCGTCATCATTGCCACATGAAACAACCATTAACCAACCAAAACGTAGTATACATGTATATATTTCTTCCAAATAACAAGAAATAGGAACAATAGCACACGCTGATTCAGGACTCTCATCCATATACCACCCTGTAAAATTTACACCTTGCTCCTAATATTGGCAGCTACAGATACAAGAGTGTCTAGGACACTTGCGAGCAAAAACACTTGAACAACAATAGTTACAAAGTTCACAAGTTTGCAAACATTACAAGTTACAAAGCATGAAGGAAAACCATGTTAACAAGATAATAGCCTTTAAGCCAGGAGAACCTTGTGTGATAAGAAGCTTCAAGGGAACCAAAATAACAGTGTCAATTTAATGGATATTCTGATAAGTAACAAAACTAAATTATAAAGGTGCCAAGAGGAATCACACAAGCAAGACACAAAAGCCTCTTAATTAACCAACAAATATGGACACAAACAAATGTTCACTTTGAACTCTAAACAAAAGGCAAAGGCAATGTCGAGTAACCCCTCCTCAACCTCCCTCCACTCCAACCCCATTATCTCTACCATCATAATTGATGCTACAAGCCAACTTCGATAACTCCTCCTAGCAAAATGAATACACCATACTTTTACTCATAACAGTTAAAGAATCATCATACATGCAGCATTTCACTACTTGTGCAAAAATCTGAATATATATATATATACATATAATTGAAGATCATGCACCATATTAGAAGTTTTGTATCAAAACCACCTGTGCCCGTTCCCAACAAGTAAATTAATATAACACAAAATTGCTTTCATTTTGTTTGTTCAGGCAGCATAGCCATAAAAGCTCTGATTATTTTTTTTCATTTTTTCCTTACTGGCAAGCTTCAAATCTGCATTCTTTCATCCCACTTAAACCAAACAAATGCATATGGAAATAAAAAATAATTGCAGATATGCTTATATTTGTTTGTACCAAGACATTTCATTTGTAATTCTCAGCATTGTCAAGTACACAACACAATAGACTTTTAAAGACTGCAGTAAGAGGGAGCACAGTGCTACAAATATACCTCTTCCTATGGCATTCTTTCTCTGTGCATTCCTCATCTTGCGGTGTGGCCCCAGGAAGTGAAACATCAGCCTTCACACCAGCACTGTCATCAAACAACCGATCACATAGAATAAAGAATTTAAACTTCATAATAAAAACCAAATTAGAGAGTCAATCAATATCTTGTCATTTGCTATGTACATGGACTCCAAAATGTGTGTATGATAATATGTACCCATGTGTCTAGTTCATCTAATTATCATGTCCAAAGACACGGGGAATGGACAAAATAATCATATTTCTTAATATATTTATTTTATTTTATTTTCTAGGGTAAAACGGTGTTCATAAGGTGCCATAGAACATTTTATACATAATATGGGAGTATTATTCATAGTTCTATGATTAACTCGAATTACTAACTATGTTTGCTTGGTAATTGCCCAACTACACATGTCAAACACATGTATCATACCCTTACCCCTTACCCCTTACCCCTTACCAATTAATCAAGTTACATGGAGCTCAAAAAAATTATATTTTTAACTTGATCAGCTTTAGGAAAAAAGCTCTGCACGCCTGAAATTCCCTTGATTAACTGTAAATCTAAATATCTCTCACCTATTTGAAGAAAGCTCGAGTAATACCATGAGATTTTGTCAGATCATGCAGGGATGAAAAAGTGTCCACCAAAACAAATCAAAACATGAGAGCCAAAAATAAAAAATAAAAAATAAAAACACAAAACTCAGTTTCCAGGGAAACAAACAGAGCAAAAGGAGGATTTTTTTTTTTTTTTTTCCTGCAATATTTTTATCATCAAAAGCTTCCAACATGGTACCTACCAAGTTCTAGAATCTTCATTATCTCCATCAAAGTAAAATTTGTTATGTTATAGTATTTGTTGAGGGAAGGGAAAAGAGAAAATCACTGAGAAAAATGGGGAAAGAAGCTAAATTCTTTTCATTTTCTAGATTCAAATCCTAGATTCAATCAAGCATAAGAAACCCAAATTAATTCCCCAATTCCTTCAATCAACCAAACACACCATTCATCTCATACCTCTACACTCAAATAACAGGAAATTTTGATATTTTATTAAAACAATAACCACACAAATTGATCTTTCAAATCAAAATTCGAACAAACACAACATATCATAATCGATACGTACCTTTGGCTGCCCCAATAGAGATCGGTCGATGTAACATCGTCGATGAAGCTGCCATAATCGAGTAGATCCCAACTGTTATCATCAAACGAGTTCATAATTGGTTCAGAAACCGAGCAATCGCAAGGTTAGGGTTGTGAATCGAAACTCAGAAACCAAGTAATTGCAAGGTTGGGCCGTGAATCAAATCAAAAACCTAAAATTAAGAGTTTTGATTAATCCGATTCATCAAAATAGGTGATGATCTGATCTGATCTGTTGGGACTTTTTGGAGGTGAAAATTGAAGCCTCCTTTTTTGAATTTGATGATTTGATTAGAAAAAAACAAAAGGGAGAATGATGAGAAAAGCGGAATCACACGAATCAAGATACCAAGCACCAAAAAAGGATGGATCCAATGATATTTGAACACGTGGGTTTTGTGGTCAATTATTAGAGATTGCGAATAATGTTTGAACACGTGGTGTTATTGTGGTCAATTATTAGTGCTTGTTTGTGATATTGTTTCGCCGCATCCGAGTGCCGATATTTTTAAAGGTAATGATTATCTCTCGACAATGCTACTTAACTCAAATTATGTGATTTGAAAGTGGCTCAAATGGTCAAAATGACGTCGTTTTGAGTACAGAATAACATAAAAATGACCAAAACGATATCGTTTTAGCCATTTGAACCACTTTTGAACCACCAAATTTAAGTTACAAGACATTTTCCTTATCTCCTCAACTGTACCATAATAAGCAACCTACCGACCGGCAACTCTCATACATAAAATTCAATAGTTCGAAAGCAAAAGCCTTGTTTGGTTTGTTTTTTAGAAATATTTTTGAGAAAAATGTTTTATAAATAAATTTTTAAAAGTAATTAAATTAAATAAATTTTTTTTAAAAAAATTTAAAATTTTGTTTGGTTACTTATTTTTCAAAATTATTATGTCTCTCATACATATCAACTCAATCACTTTTTTTAAAATTTTCTTCCTAAAATAATTTTCCAAAACTATTTTTGAAAAAAAACAAACCAAACAAGTTTTCATACTTTTTATCTCAAAAATTACTCTACAAACACAAACCAAACACATCAATTAATTTTATATATTCTTAATTATTATTAAAAAAAAATTAATTACAGATGTTGTTACATCTTATTATAGTCAGAGTTTCATCAGATAATCACTGAAAATTTGTCACAATATTTAATTTTACCAAAAAAATCGTCAGACTATCGTTAAAAGTTTGTCGAAATATCGCTAAAGTATTTCGAATATCACTAGAAGTCACCGGAATATCCAAAACGTTCGCTGAACGTTAAGAATATCATCGGAGACTTAATAGAATGTTCAAAATATTATCCGGAAAAAAAAAAAAGAATAACTAGAAAAATTAGAGTAAAAAAATGACAAAACGTGTTAAATATTGATAAAAAAATAAAATTAAAAAAATAAAAACAACAACAACAAACAGTAACAATGGAAAATATGTATATTTTTTAATTTTTGTAGGGTTTAAGCAAATAATTTCAAATATTAATCAAACTAAAAAGTAAGTTTTGAAACTGTAAAACAGCACAGTTTCAAAGTAAAACTTTATTAAGCATTTATTCTTATTAATCAAACTGTAAAATTTTATAGTTCTAAAGAATGTTATGAAATTACAAAATTTTATAATTTTAAACCATGATTCATTTCAGCACCAAAAAAAAAATTGAAATTGTAAAATTTTATTGTTTTCTCCGCATGTAACTAAAACTCGAAAACAACTTGTTTAGAATTTGAAAATTTTCTCTCTTAAAGCAGAAAAAAAGAAGTTTGTAGCACAAAAAAGGTAGAAATTTGAGAAATCAAGTGGGAGAGACATATATAGAGAAATGATTGTACTCCGACAATTATTTTTTATTTAGATCTAGCCGAATCTGATGTAGATCTACTTAGATCTTATATATCTTCTTCGCCGGAAACTTATCTCTATCATCGTCGGTGAGGGTGAAGAAAGGAGTCGGTGGTTTCCGGTGAACCCCAATCAATGGTGGTCGTTGGTCGCCAGTGACTATATATCAAAAAGAGAAAGAGAATAAGTAAGACATAGTCGCCGGTTGTCAATCGCCGAAAAATAAAGAAGAAGAGAGGCAGAGAAGAAGAATAATAATCTTATACGACTTTTGGATATAAGCAAAAAGTTATGGGACTAAATAAGTCACACCTCTTTCAAAAAGGAGTTGTTGGTAATTTGCCTTAAAAATAATTAAATAGAGATTTCTTACTAATAAGAGTTTATAAAAAACATATCATACTTGTTAGTCAAAATGCCTAGTACATTTTTAACTCGAATGCATTAGGCATATGATTAGGCATTTTAACTCAATTTACATTCACTAGCTACATATAGTTATCTTTCAAATATTAGACAAAATGTATTTAATCATTAGGATCATTTCTATATATTTTTATTGTTGATGTGACATTTTATAAAGTTAATAATATTTTAATGGTTGGAATAGAAATATGTAAAAGTTAATGGGTAAAAAAAAAATGTATGCTTTATAGTATTGTTTAAATAGGTAAAATGCCTATTAGCGTTAGAGATACTCTTATGAAAATATTATTCGTAAGAGACTTTTGTTAATGACTCTTACCGAGAAGAGATATTTTAATTGTCTAGTTAAGTTGAACTTTCCACTACCGACAAGCTAAATCTTTTTTTATATTTTTTATAGGGAGATTCTATTGGGTAGGATGTGCACCAAACATACCTTTAGTTATGATATTTATGGTCTTTAATTATGACATATTATAGCGTTAGTTATTACTCTTTGTCATGTTGATTCAAAAGCTCTTTAATTATATGTTAACTATGCTTAGTATAACCCTTTTTTTTATTATTATTCTATATTTTTTAGTTATGACTCTCATATGATTGAGTTATGATATTTGTGATAATTAATGGGTCATTACACACGCTAAATATAAATACTAAACTATACCAAATTCTTTTAGAATAATGGTAAGTCCAGGTATCAATCCACAGGGACGAACGTGAAATTAAACTAATTTAATTGTTAAATTCCTAAATTAATTTTGATTAAAAAGATTGATGGACATTATGACTAAACAAGAATTAAATGAAATTGAATAATTAAATTGACAATTAAAATTAGGGTTTGAGATATAAATTTTTGGAAAAAATTCCTAAGGCAAAGAGTTCACCACTAACCACATAAATGATATTTAACATCGGCCAATAATTGCAATCCGGTTTGAAATACCCAATATTTCACAACTACAAGTTTGAAATATTGATTAAGAGGGTTGTTGCATTCAACGTACAGACACGAATCATCTTGAGTAGCACTAGGCGTTTGTTTTAAACTATGGTAGTAACACGACCCGTCTCTCGTAGTATGACTCGTCTCGTACATTAAACACAAACACAAAGAAAACTAATGTATAGAAAGCATTAGACAATCATAGATAGTGAAATACTTGAAGAGATAAAAGGAATAATTATTAAAAACATCTAAATCATTCATACATTGATTCAAACTGATTCACAATCAAAGCTTATGAAAAATCCTATTACATGGCTAGGGTTTCATCAAAATCCTAGAAAAGAAGAACCTAGCCACTCATGAAAGAGTAGAAAGAGGTAGAAGAGATGGAAGAGGTAAAAGCATCCATGAAAGTTCTTGAGGAAAAATCACCTCTTCAAAACCCTAGCCTCCCTTTCCTTAGAATAATTTCCGAACCCTCTTTTAGTCTCCTCTTTTTTCTTTTATTCCCAGCAAAAGAGTCTTAAAATTTCACGCATGTAACCCTATGTGGGCCGCTCGAGCGGTGGTGGGATGCACGTGCGGTGAAGCTTGGCCACATGTGCGGTGGTTTAGCTGGCTCGGATTTTTCGTTTCTCGCACAAAGGATCTGCTTTTGCGCCATTTTTAATTGAATTTGCGTATTTCCTGTCAAATCTGTACAAGTGCACGAAACACATCATCTCCACCAAATAAACAAAATTGAAAAACTAAAACTGTAACTTAAGTGGCCTCAATGTGGTACCTTTCGGCCTACATCACATCTCCCAACTTACATTTTGCTAGTCCTCAAGCAAAACAAAAGAAATAAGAAAACTAAAATAACTCTAAGCCACTTATGTAGGGATCACGATTGCATTTAGCATATGCAACAAGCATTTAAACCACAAGGTTACCCCAAGTGGACAAGTATAGTCTCTTGAGGGTTTTCAGAAATGATACCCACAAAGATCAACATATTCATATATGCTCAACAACAATTAACCACACTATTCCACTTATCAATCAACTTATGTGCCACTACAATGTGATATTAAGACATGATGAGTTATTGAAGGCACAATGGACAAGTATGAAGAAATCTATTTAGCCAAAACCACAATTTCAGTTAATACAAAAGTAAAGTCCCCTATACTTATGCATGCTAGTAGACACGTCATCAATACCCTCGGTATGAAGTGCAATCTCTATACTAGTTAACTATCCACTATAATAGCCCGATGTAACTCATAATAACACCCAACATATACAGAAAAACTAAACTATTGCAACCAAGATTCTCAATTTTTTTTTTTTTTTTTGAAAGACTATGCAATGTTCTAACCCATTAAGCTTTCTAATGAATCCATGTAGTAAGTATTGGGCCAATGACTCCCAAACTAGACGGTTTTAGGGCACTAGAGACACCTCTATGGGCTTAATAACTCAAGCTGAAAAAGGCTACGAATCCGAACAAGTCATTCTCCTTATTTTTCCTTAACTGTGCAATGTCTAGGTCCCTTAAGCTTTCTAATTAACCCATGTAGCAAGTATTGGGCCAATGACTCCCAAACCAGACGGTTTTAGGGCATTAGGTGTAAAAACACTCCCACGGGCTTAATAACTCGAATTAAAGAGGCTACGAACCCAAACAAGTCAAGTGTTTTGTTTTGTTTTTGTTTTTGTTTTTTTTTTTTTTTTTAAGAATCTTGGTTACTCATTTATTCTTTTCTGCAACCCTAGCAATTATCAATGATGTACACCAGGGATTAGAATAGAGAGGTCGCTGCTATGAAAGTGTGTTCATGTGAATCAAGGCATACTCGTGACAAGTGTACTAATATCACAAATACAAACAACTCTCCTAGTGCAAACATCACATGCAACTCTCTACCCAGTAAACCCTTTTCACACAAGCCCACTATGTGTCCCCAATTAACATATGCTCATATCACTACCATACTAGCACAAAGTGAACATCAAGTGAAGTTGTGCAATCATGTGCAACAGTATAAACATGAATTGTTTTTATAAAAACCCTTACCCCCCA